ATATATATATATATATATACACAACATAGCTGTAATGAATGATTTAACAGACTGTTTGAAAAGAGTATGATCATAGCATGAAATATTTATAATGCATTTGGGCTAAATCCCACCGTCTATTTGCCTCTGTAATTTCCTTTGGCTGTGTTGCAGACTGTGTGAGGCTCAGGCAGGAAGCCCTGGCTGCGATCTCCAGAGATAACTGTTGACAAATTCTGCCTGAATCAAAACTTCAGTGAGAGAGGTGGCAGTGTGAGGCGTTGCATTGTGGGGGAGTGCAAATAGAAGGCTGAAAAACAGAATCTCAGATCTGCTGCTAGTGTGTTGGTACCTTGAAAGGTTTCTCTACTGACACCGTATGGCCACAGGTAGAACATATTAACATGTCTACCAGAAATTAGAGGATGGCTCTGGACACAGAACATAAATCTTATTCACACTCAAGCAGAAACTAGCTGAATAACTCTACTTTATAGGTTTTTTCAGTGTTTCACGCTTTCTTATTTTCTCACTGTAAATAAACCATTTTACTCTTCCTCACACTCTTATCCTTTCTAGGTACTGCTTTATTTATTGACTTATTGTATAAATGATTGAAATAGTGGCTTTTCATGTGTATTTTTCATCTGAACATCCTTTTAGTCCTTTTCAGTTTTTAAATTAACCATTAGAGGCTACTTATGTTTGTTATGTGAATAGTGTTTTCTGTTTTTGTAATTTCTGCCAGTCTTTTATGGACTAACTTTTTCTGCACACTATTAAAATATACATTCATAATTCATATGGGCAGCTGTGGCTGAGTGGTTAGAGCAGTCGTCCTCCAATGCAAGAGTTGGGGGTTCAAATCCACCAGCAGTCACATGCCCAAGTGTCCATGGGCAAGACACTGAACCCCTCATTGCCTCCGATGGGTGTCCCATCGGTGTATGAATGTGATCTAAAGCTCTGATTAGTCTCTTTAGAATGATTTGTTCAATTAGCTTTGTAGCGATCTAGTATAGAGCTGTATGAACGGGTAAATGAGGCACAGATTGTAGTGTAAAGCGCTTTGAGTATCTTGAAATAAGATAGAAAGGCGCTGTATAAGTACAGTCCATTTAATTCAAAAGTTTCAGCTTGAATGTGAAGAGTACGTTATGAGTGTTTTTTCTGTAACTTTTATACTATTAGAAGTATTAAATTTGATGACATTGAAGAAATTATATAGAAATACATTGAGATGCCTTCAAAGACTATATTGCTTTTGAAATCTGCTACAGCATACTTTCTCTATTTTTGTCTTCTTAGGGCACTTTTAGCTACTGTTTTGCTTTTTTTTTTTCAGCTTTTAAATTACTTTTTAGCTGCTGTTTTACCATCTTTAGCCTCTAACTATCATTTTATCATTTCTACCAAACCTGCCCCACCATCGCTCCACAGCCGCAGCTGTCTGGGAATGAAAAGTTTCAGGTTCTATGTCCCACCATGAGTTGTGGTGTCCTTGAGCAAGACACGTATTCTCTAAATGCTCCTTTCCACTTGTGTGTCTCACATGTGTGTGAACTGTGAAGGGACAAATGCAGAGAACAAATTTCATTGTTGACAACACGGCACTTTAGTTACTGTTTTGTTACTTTTAGCGACATTTATTAGCTATTAGCTATTGTTTGTTAATTTAGTTTTAGCATGTTTTCCTAATTAGTTTAGCTCATTTTAGCTTTAGTATTTGGTTGACTAATTTCAGCACCTGATTACTTTTTAGCTACTGTTCAGCTGTTTTTTTGCATTATCTACATCAATGCCAGCTTTTTTCCTTTTCTTTCCTTTCTTTTGTTTTTAGCATTTTACTAGTCTTTTGACAATTTTACCTCAAATTTTAGCTTGTTTTCTGTTCATCTCACACTTTGTTCCATTCATTTCAGCCTCTGTTTAGCTCATTTTATCTTCTGTTCTGCTTGTTTTAACTTTAATAACTCAGTTTTAACCTCTTCAAGTTCATCTTATCATTCATATTGCATTTTTCAGAAAACACTTTTTTTGCAATTGTTTTCAGAATTATTATTGTGTTTTTAATGTATTTTATGCATTGCATGATCATAATAAAAATGTACTGTAATGTAGTGTAATCATGGCTTGGCATCAGACAAACTGCTTTTAAATTTCAGCAGCATCAGGAACAGCGTTCAAAGCTTTAAACTGAACCAAGAAATAAAAGATGGTGTCTGACTTTTCAGGCTTTTGAAGGTTAATTATTCAAGACTTTCCTCGCAGCACAACAATCCAAGAAGAGCATGATCACACAGTGAGCAGCAGCTTCTTTTTTATTCCCTAAGAGAGTGCCACAAGTTTAAACTTGGTATTCTGCTTATAATTGAGATGCACAAATTGTCTGAAGTCTGGTGCCTTCAAGCACGGCAGAGGGAAATAGAAGGCAAGCGTAACCTCAGATACTCCCCTCACCATGCAAAGCAATCAGGGGTACCATTCTAATCACCCGCAAGAAAAGGATGTCTTTTGTTATACTGATAAAGTGTGTGTATTACGCATACAACTTATCTGTTGAATTATTTAAAAAATCTCCATTCACTCTGTAATGTTTTAGCTGCTCATAAATGGAAAACAATATAATTAGTTTTTGTGGATCCATCACTTGAACAAGCATGTAAAAACAAATTGACTAGAAGAGTTGCATTTAGGCATAAAGCAAAACATAATTAGATGTATAGAAGCATATATTTAGTAAAATAATAATAATAATAATAATAATAATTGTTCACACAACTTCATTTTGAGATATGTATTTTCATATCTGATCATTGCTTGTCAAAAAAAAATGTTGGAAAAAGTTTAGACCTTGGTAACCACCTTAAAAAAACATTCCTAAAACGCCTAACAACTCAGACTAAATCAAATTAACTAAATAACTTTATTTTATCATGTAATGCACTGAAAAAATGTTCACCAGCCCATCAAAAGTAATGAGTAAAAACATCAGAGCTACAATTCTACTGTATTTGACATTGTACTCTTTACTATAGATGCAAAAATGAGCTTTTATACAACAAATTGTCTACACCCACATTGAAGCTATACAACATAAATAAAAAATAAACGGAACAATTGGTCAAAAGTTGAAATAAATAAATACCAGAGAGAATTTCGCTGTGTTTGTAAGTGGAAATATAATAATAAATAAATAAATAAACAAATACTGTGAGTTTTGAGTGGCAAACTGCTTTATGTATGTTGTGCAGACAGACAATTTTTATTGGAGCCCAATTCATTTGACATTAATTGTCAGAGTCAAATCAGTCAGAGACAGAGATTCTTTATTGTCATTCGCACCACATGTAGTACATGTGTGGTGGAGGGAAATTATGTGCACAGGGTCCCAGTTACATCCAACATGAATCAGTTTATTCAGTCAAACATTTAAACAGTGGGGAGAAAAAAAAAAGTTTTGTTCTCAGCACTTTTCTCTGCTATAACTTTGTTTGTCAATTGAGTTTTGTGTCAAACCGATGATTTATTTGCACAAGAACTGTATATTGCAACAAGTTTCAGTTTATTTGACAAAGAACACAAATAAATTCTGTTCAATTCTGTTTTTTAATGCAACCTTCACGCCACCTTGTAAAAAAAAAGTGTATGCATACACTCATTGATGAATAATTTCAGATTTTTATCTCACGAAGCTCCGCCCAGGAGGCAACGTTGCATCAGAATGTCCGAGTGACGTCATCACTCTTCACCCGGTACTACTTCCTGTAGTTCGCGGATTTCTGAAAGCAAAACGCTCTAAAAATAGGAAAGTCCTGTACTTGTTATGGCCGAACCGACTGTCGTGGAGAAAATGAGTGAATTGAATGTGGGCGAAGGGACAAAGGTAATAATAAAACGACTTTAGCGTATAACTATTTTCGGCCTGACCTGTAACGTGGTACATGTACGTGCTGTCATTAGCTTCCACCAACAATGCGGCGCTATTTCTTCGGCCAGCTGTCACTTTTATGTTAATTGTTCTTTTAATGGCTGAACCTATAAAGCTAACATGCCATAGTTTAATTTTTGTATAAATATGTTGATGCAGTGCGTTGCTAACACTATGTTTCATTTACGTGAGCATCTTCGGTTTCTTTGGTTTGGCTAACTTAGCCTCGTGCCAAACTCCATATAGATTTTTTTGTATTTCAACATATCTTTGCCTAAACTTGTATTTTTAATGGTGTAATTACTATCTTAGTATTTTTTTTAACGATCATGATTATCTCTATGAATCGGAATATACTGAATGCGTCAATTAATTAGGTTTTCAGTCAAAATCACTCTTTTTGTAATTCCACATTTCATTCAAAAATTCAAACTTTGTGCAGGTTATTCTTATTGAGCTCATTGGAGACTCATTTACAAGAGAGACCTGCTTTTAACAAAGAATGATGACAACAAAGACTATAAATTGAGAAGAATAAATGAAAGAGCATGGTATTAACAAATCGAAACAAAAACAGCTGGCTGTAAAGATATGTAGAAAACTAAAAACAGGAACATGTCTGCTTTGGTTTTTGTCATGAACTTAGCAGATGTTTGAAACCACTCAGAGGTCAAGGTCAAGAGCTTCAGATCTTTTTGCAAGGTGATACAGGAGCACATTAAGTGTTGCCAGTGATTGAAGTTCTTAAGATCGTAATTTTTTTTTTAACCTTTTTTGTTTGAATAGATTCAAAATGTGGAAAAATAGATGTGACTTGTTTCTGTCTTGCTAAATATAACTGTCTACAAGATCTACACTTTAAGGTTGCCAATGTAGATAGAAATAGAAAGTAGAATAGAAAGTATTCTACATTACATTTTTTTTTTACTTTTTTTTTTCCATACCTTTTTTATGGAATGGCTGTTGTTTTTTTTTTAATTAATAAAACTTATTTTACCTTTATGTTATGACTTTTGGACAGAGGTCAGCTGGAAGTGGTAAAGATGAAGGGAAGAAGAAAACTAAACCTGCTGCCGCCTCTTCAGGCAAATCTGAGGTGAGTTATCAACTAAAGCCCCCAGTATACTCCTGCGTACGTCCGTACGCGGAGGTACGCACGTACGTACGCGGAGGTACCAGCGTACCCCCCAGGGCATGTCCGTGCAAAGCTCAATTTTTACGACCGCGTACGCGGTGTCGCACAATAAACTGCTCAGCGACGGACTGTTTTGTATGCGACACCAATGTATTAAATTCCCCTTCTTCATCCCTGATCTGGCCTTTTCTTTTGTTTTTTGCCAAGAGGCAAGTGATCTCTTCCTCCTCCGTTGATGCCATGACTGAAATGGTGAGAAATGAAAGAATTTGTCACGAGCGAATTAAACTCGGGTCCAGCATGGCTGCGGGAGGGTCTGGAGATTTCCTGGTGGACTGGTTTGATGAGTGGGCTGCAGAGCCAGCGCTCCGTTTTTTTTTTTAGATTTTTTTATTAACAACATATAAACACAAAACACAACTGAGGCTGCCAGCGCTCCTTTTTTTTTTTTCTTTTTTCTGACCTGTCAATCAATCCAGTAGGCGTGTCAGCAAATGACCAATTGGCGACCTCAATTTGTCCCGAAGGTAAACGCCCCTTGTTTGGAAGATGACTGCAGCCGCTCAGGGTGGACGCTCGAGTATGAAGTCTGAACCCTCTGCGTACAGTACACGCGTACGTTCGCGTGAATGGACGTACGCGGGAGTATACTGGGGGCTTCAGAGTAAAACTTTTTAAAAATGTATGTTTTATTTTAACAAACATTTTAATTATAATGTATATTTATGTAGATTGTTGTCCATCCATTATATTTTACCCGCTTCTTCCATTTTGGGTCACGGGGGTCGCTGGTGCCCATGTCCAGCAATCACTGTGCGAGGGACGGGTTACACCCTGGACGGGTCGCAAGTCCATCACAGGGACACATGGAGACAAACAAGACAAACAACCATTCACTCTCTCATTCACACCTAGGGACAATTTAGAGTTACCAATCAGCCTAACATGCATGTTTTTGGTCTGTGGGATGAAACTGGAGTACTCTGAGAAAATCCACGCATGCACGGAGAGAACATGCAAACTCCACCCAGAAATGCCCTCGGACTGGGATTTGAATCGGGGACCTGCTCGCTGAGAGGCAGCAGCTCTACCTGTTGTGCCACCGTGCTGCCGTAGATTGTTGTATTGTTTGATAATAAAAATTGTAAAATAATCTTCAGATAACTCTGTATAACATTTAAATGGTCATTCTGAAAGAAATTTCAAGAAAAAATACATTTTGAGAATTGTATTGATGCGTTTTATGAAAACAGTGTGCCTGCCTGCCAAAGTGCGGCTAATAATAAGTTGATTTAGTTTTTTTTAAGTGCACACAAATTGTCTTTTCATAAATCTCTTAGACAAACAGTTCTTTAAATTTGTTTGCTGCAGTACAAATCAGCTGGCTTTGCTTTGAATATATTTACAAGAAGGATAAAAAAGATTTACGTCAGTAAAAACTTGCTTTAATTTTCCATGTATTAAAAGAAATATGGAAAAGAACATTTGCTAAACAACAATTGGGGAGAATAAACAGAATAAGACCAATATACATAATAATTAAGTGTGCGTGCGTGTATGTACAAATGTTTGTTTATTTATATATATATATATATATATATATATATATATATATATATATATATATACATACATACATACATACATACAATTTTCACTAACTAGCTTTGTCAAGCTTGTTGTTTTTCTAGTTTTATTTTTTTGTTTCCTTGCTGTTTTGTCTAAATATTTCTGACATAAATATAGCAAATAAAAACATGTTTTTTTTGCTTTGAAGGTAGTTGTTGGTCAGATACATTCAATGGCAATGTCACAGCTCAACTAGCTGCAGTCCCTTGATGATCAGGTTTATGTGCAGTTTACCAATAAACAGTGAACCTGTCGTTGTTTTTCTGTTCTAGAGAAGTGCATAATTTGTTCAAAGTACAACACAATGAATGTTCTACATGGGGAGAGAATTATCCGTTTCCAATTCATTTATGTGCAGCTTTTGTTTCCCTCCAGTTGTCACCACCACCTCAGTACATCGAGGAGCGTCTTACTTTGTATGCAAAGCTGAAAGCTGAGCACAATGCTCTGATGGCAGGGAGAGCTGCAAAGGACAGCAAACCAATCAAGGTGACCCTGCCTGATGGGAAGGTGGTGGATGCAGAATCCTGGAAGACCACCCCATACCAAGTGGCGTGTGGAATCAGGTCAGTGTAATTATAGGTCTGCTGTAATTATTGCAATGTGACACCTTGTTATAATGTAGAATTAAAAAATCACAGAACTCAAACCTGATTGCCAGAGATGAAGTGTCAGCTTTATTTATGCAGCCTACCATTAGTGTTACTCTTTTTCAAAAGGGTTCACAACCCCAAAGTTATTAAAACCACTTACAACAAATGTCAACCGGCAACCTTTGACTGTTCGTTAAAGTAAACATTTCAATTAATTCATCTGACACAAAGTAAAAGAGTATTTTGTCCAAAAAGTCCTGATGAAATATTGCATGTAATATCTGACAATGTTCTTTTAGTCGGTGTCAGAAATGCGTTCAGACCATAAAGTGAGCAGAACTGTCAATAGAAGCATCGTTATCACCGTGTTTTTCAGACTATAAGTTGCACTTAAAATCCTTTAATTTTCTCAAAAATCAACAATGAGCCTTGTAATACCTTGTGTATTAATTCTGATTGTGCTTACTGACCTTGAACCGATTTTATATGGTACACAACGCTCAAAAATCTGTCAAAATGTTTTAATTTTGCTTAATGCGCCTTATAATCCAGTACATTTTATAATCTGAAAAATAAAGTAGGTCTTTTTATGCTCATGGCTCCGTGACGTCTTGGTCCCGTTGGCATAACTGTGTCACACAAACAGTTAATATGTAAACAAGTCAAAACAATTCTTAAACAGTGGTTTACGATGTAAACAATACTCTGTAATTTTAGATATTTTTGTCAATTGGAGCAGTTTTATCTAAATGTATATCTTATAACTGTGAGCTCTGGTAAGAGGAATTGGAGCGGTCACTTCTTACCCTTTTATTATAGTTGGTGTTAAAAGGATTTATCAAACGTATATTGTCGCTGCTATTGGTATCAACATTATTTTTATGTGTAATCTTTTTATATTTTCTGGTGCAGTCAAGGCCTTGCAGACAACACGGTGATTGCCAAAGTAAATAACAATGTGTGGGACCTGGACAGACCTTTGGAAGAAGACTGCAGCCTTCAGTTGCTCAAGTTTGATGATGAAGAAGCTCAGGCTGTAAGTTCACATCAGCTCTGGTCTCATTTTGGAAAGATTAAAAAAATTAGTGAATTTAACTTAAATATCATTGAAAAGTGGGACAAATTTTTAATGAGCAGATTTTGTCTCTGAGCTTTTGAAAAGGTGTTAGATTTGCTTATTTTGTAATTTTTAGAAACGCCAATATTCTAATCTCAGAATTTTAATAAGTTAAAAACTCTTAATTTATAAATGTACAAATTAGATGTAAATTATCTAAAGCTGTCAACAAATTTATTTTTCAGACACTGACACTATAAATGTAAATAAAAAAATCTTTGGATGCTTGAGCTTTTACTATAAATTGTCTCTCCTGAGAATAAAGAATCAACTTTAATGAATCAAGCACGACAGTTTCTAACTGGATGATCCTTCTGTGTATTCTGCAGGTTTACTGGCACTCCAGTGCTCATATTCTTGGTGAAGCGATGGAGAAGGTGTACGGAGGCTGCCTCTGTTACGGACCCCCAATTGAGAACGGCTTCTACTATGATATGTTTTTGGAGCACGAGTGAGTTGCTTGTTTTGGGTTCAGCGTTGTCTCAAACAGTACTTGTACTGTAGTTCTTTGTTTGTACTTGAGGGCGTAGCAGGTGTCTTAACAAGTTCAGTGAGGTTGATGGCCAACAATGCTTGTTATGAAACCCTGTCTAGCTGGATTTGTCTTGGGTGTGGGTTTGATTATTATTTTTTTTATATATATATATCTTACAGAACTGGTTTACTAAGAGCAAAAATTAGTTCAGCTTTGACATTTTGTTAATTATTTTCCTATAAATGATTTTCATTTCTTTTTTTTCTGCACTAAATGTTTTTCTACTTGCTTTAGGTTGCAGGACATTTTTATATAATCAATTCTACAACCTCATTTCTTGCTAATGGCTTTGTTAGAGGTTGTTACAAGGTTATTTTGACATTGTTTAAGCCCTAAAGCCAAGGACTTAAAGTATTTTATTTTCTCGACCTTTGGGCAGACACAGGGGGGTAAACGTAAGGCTGCATCCATGATGCCCTTTGGAAACTGTAGGAGATTTTACTAAGCACTGGAGGTTATGTGCAATGTGCAATTTTGACGTTACCTTCTTTCAAACAGTGGTGTATCAAGTAATGACTTTCCCTGTCTGGAGACTCTGTGCAAGAAAATCATCAAGGAAAAGCAACCGTTTGAAAGACTGGAAATAAAGAAGGAAACTCTTTTGGAAATGTTTAAGGTATTAAACACAAACATGCATACATGGGAAAGAAGTAATATGTAAATATTCTCAAGGTATTTCTACTTTTTTACAGTACAACAAATTTAAGTGCCGCATTCTGAATGAGAAAGTCACCACTCCCACTACGACCGTTTACAGGTGAGACCATTTCTCCCAGCAACTGTTTTCTAACCGTTGTGAGCTTTATTGTCTACAGATTCTGTGAACAACATATAATTCATTTCATCCATGACTTTTTGAAATCTATTTTTGTTGCCGTTTACTGGATAGAGAGCTCACGGAGAAATGAGAATGAACTTGTATTTCAGTTTTTATTGGGATGCGTTTACAAAAAGGAAAAAGAAACTGAAGTGTACAAACAAATGGGCTCTATTCAGTGCTTAGTTTTATTGAAACAAAACGACAAAGAGTGAAACAACAATCAAAGCTGTGTCATTTCAGATGCGGTCCTCTAATTGATTTGTGTCGGGGGCCTCATGTGAGACACACCGGAAAGATCAAGGCTCTTAAAATCCACAAGGTTGGTCTTTGTTAACAGCTGCATGCTGTTATTGTATATATTTAGTTAGCTCCCACTTCTGGAGCAGATTTATCCTGAGTTTTACTCTCAGGGGGTTTGTTGGACTTTAAAGAAGGATGAAAGTCTTTTTTTTCTCTTGTGTTGCACTAGAATTCTTCTACTTACTGGGAGGGGAAAGCAGACATGGAAACCCTCCAGAGGATCTACGGAATCTCCTTTCCTGACCCCAAAATGCTCAAAGAGTGGGAGAAGTTCCAGGAGGAGGCCAAGAACAGAGATCACCGCAAACTGGGCCGGGTATGAGCAGAAATATGAAGGAGTTGTTAGCAGAGAAAGGTTTAAACTTGTTACCTGCAGGATTTATGAATATAAAGAAGCATTATTTTCACATGTATATGATATACGTCAAATATAAGTTGAACGAGAGAAATTGCATTTCCTGCAAAAATGCTGTGTGAATGCTTATTGCAGAAGAACTTACTGAAAACCAGCTGAAATTAGCTAAAAACACGCTAAAACGTAGCTGAAAATGTAGAACAAGCGTAAATCAGCAGGAGAAAGCAGAAAGAACACAAAAGTTTAAATGAGTGCAAAAAATATGGAATTAGCTTAAAAGGCTAATATTAGCATAAAAACAGCTAAATAGTAGCTGAAATAACTGAAATGAGCAGAAGTAGGCTGAAAGGAGCATAACAAATTGAAATTAGCAGAAATAATTTAATTAGGCTGAAAGTAGCAGAAATGACCATGAAAAACTTCATTTCACCTGAAAACAGCTGAAATTAGCTAAAATATGCTAAAAATCTAGCTGAAAATGTAGAACAAGCGTAAATTAGAAGAAAGCATAAAGAACACGTTTGCCCAATTGGGCTGAAAGAAGCAGAAATGAGCGCCAAAAAATGGAAATTACCTGAAATAATCTGGAAAATAAAAAAACAAACAGCTGAAAAGTAGCTAAAAAGCAGAAAAAAGCTTAAAGTACCAGAAGCAAGTGGACAGAACACATTTGTTTCTGAATTGGGCTGAAAAAAGTTGAAATGTGTGTGACAAAAGTAGAAAAAGCTGAAAAAGCTAAAATCAGCTTTAAGTAAGTATAAATAAGCTGAAAGGAGCATAACAAGCTGAAATTAGCAGAAAGAAATTAGAAGAAGCACAAAAGTGTTGTAGATCCTAAAGATCCTGAAACGAGCACAAAACAGCTGAATTAGCTGAAAGTAGCTAAACAAAGTTTAAATTTGCACAAGGAAGCTGAACTGGAACACAATGTGAAAGCAGTAAAATGTAAACGGATCTAAAGATTTGAAGGATGTCAAATCATTTTCTGAGGGAAAAAAAAAATGGCAGAAAAGGCTAAATATTTCCAAAAGCTAAAGTTGTACCAATACCAAATGTCATAGCACCCTTCTGAACGAGCAGAATGTTTTGATATGATTTGTTGAAATGGCACAAAAATTGTGGAACGAGAAAGATGCTGAAAAACGTACGGAAGAAAAATGGATCACAATAGAGTGAATGCTTCATAAACATTCACACAATAAATTAAAATATAAGAGCTTAGATTATGCCGGATGTTACCAGGTCATACTTTAAAAAAAAAAAAAATGTGTTTAAAGGTAATTCTTGGGGGTGGGGATTGTTTTAATGGTAAATTTTGAGCAGTGTTGGTGTTACAACTAGTGTTCAATTACAGTGTATACTTGTAAAAAGACATTTAAATAATTGTAATTATGAGTTATGACATTGGCATTCAGTTAGACTTCTTTAAGTATAGTTTTAAGACAGAATCAGGCTGTGTCTTCTTGTAGCTGTATTTATGCTTCGGATAAACGAGCTGAGCAGGAACACGAGCATGCGCAGGCAGGAATTATAACGTAATGAGGTTTTGCATTATCTTAAACAAAAACCAATTTGACCTATGTGCGACTTGCTTTTAATTTTCCATTACTCTAACTTCTATTTATTTATCTTTTGCATTCAGGAGCAGGATCTGTTCTTCTTCCATGAACTGAGTCCAGGGAGCTGCTTCTTCCTTCCTAAAGGGGCCTTCATCTACAACTCGCTGATTGAGTTCATCAGAGTGAGTTGGAGCTGTCAGGCCCACAGAGGATAATTGCTTTGATCTCACTCCAAGCTCTCGGGGCCAAACAAAAGTCAGGGTTATAAGGCAGAAAGTTTACTTTTGCAATCAGAACGGAAAAGGAAAAAAACCCAGATTTGATATGTGCATTTAATTGCTCCTAAAGGAACATTTTATGATTATCATCAACATTCAGTGCAACACAGTCACATGTTCTTCAATCGTAAGCATATTGCTGATAAGGGATTTGGTGATGAACAGATATTTTAGAGGTTTCAAACTTCTGTTTTATTTTAAATGAGAAAAAGTAGAAAGCTAATGAGGAAAAAAAAACATAAATGGCTATGTAAGTTTGTTCCTTAGATGTAATTCCTTCCTTTTTCATGAATCAACCATTAGGCGTTTAGTTACAATTATTTATTCATTACTAAATCGTTCATCAGTTGCGCAGAAGTTATGCAAAAGTCTGATTTTTATTCCTTGCATGTTGATTAGCATAAAACGATACAGCTATTCACGTAAACTACAAATCACACAAACAAATAAAGCATTTCGTTTCAATGCAATTATGCAAATGCTCGTCACAACAAACCGTAACATGAACAAAGTGTTTGCAGCAGTAAATGTATAGTGTTGTGTTCAAATGGCACACACAACTTCAATTACAACCTTTCAGTAATGGTGACGTTAGGAGCTCTCAAAGTGAGATGTTTTTAGGTGTTTGGATGGGAAATGGGCGGAAAAACAGAGCTTGGGTATTTTAAGTGACACTTGAAAATATTTAAGATTAAAGAATAAAACTAAACTGTGTAGCTAAAATGGCTTCATATAGAAAAATCATTCAATCAGTTAGACATTTTAGCAACACGCTTGCTTGTTGACTGAATCTGGCTGCAGAAAATAAAAACCCTAAATAGACCATTCAGTCGATTGTGAAGTCGTGTTCATGCGATATCTTTGTTTAGCTTACATTTTCTCTGACCCAACATATGCTGCATGTTCAGCTTTAACAGCATCACAATCCGCATCTCTTTATCAAGCTGAATACTTGTACATTAACCTTTGCCATAATGCTGAGCAGAGGTGTAGAGTCCTGAATGATCATTCTTCATGTTCCAATTGTTTAGTATTGAAGCCCAAAAAATTGAGAAGTATTAAGTTACTTAAGCTTGTTCTTAAGATGATAGTTCAGATAGTTCGAGTAGGATTCTGAGGAAAATGTTATGAACAACTATTAGCTTACTAGGACTTACTGGACTTACAAGTTAAAGGTTAATCCAAGCGGGCAAAGACCTAAAAGAGTTGCCATCAACTCCAATGTCAAGTTTTATAGTGCATTATAATATTTTATGTTTTACTGTACCGCTGATGTTGCATTACATCAGTATTTAGATGGAATTATTGTTTATTTTTACACGTTTAACATGGCTGCACTTGATGCAAGAATTTCATGGTTTTTTGGGGGGGCTAGAATAACTGCAATGCAACATTTGCAGTGCTGTAAAGGTTTATAGAATAATGCATGAACCAAGAAGTTTTGAGACTAGTTATTTTACGATAACTTGTTTTTGCCTGAATTAGCTGTGAGCTCATCAATCCAGTCAGAATTAAACTTTTCCTCCAAACTACTGCAGTTCAAAGAGCCATCTATTACAGGTAAGATGTTAACTGTTCATAAGCAGAACTCCATTTCCAAATACTTGATCTATCCCTTTAAGCTCTCTGTTATCTCATCTAAGATATCATCTGTATTTTCCCTTGGCACAACATTTGATAAGACTTAATCATGTCTTGCTGAATAGCCCATCTCACATTTTAAATATTTTAAAAAGGTGTAAATCAAAAATATGTGACCGCATTAAAGCTCTGTTATTCCATTACACAAAGCAAAAATATAGCTGTTCAAATCTTAGTTTTCATTGTGTGCAGTCATAGTGGAAAACACATCGGAAGCTTTTTCACTTTAATGTGGATAAATGGATTTCTAACTGAGAAGATTTTGAAGAATGAGAATTGATTTTAAAAGACTGTGCATGAGAAGATGGAAACAAGAAATTCCTCTCTGTAACTCTGACAGGAAATTTACAATCTGTTGCACCGGCTTTTATTTTATTAGTTCTTTTATACTCGTATCTTTGGTTTATGGAAGTGATATAAATAAGACAGAACAAGCTCATTAAACATAATATAGTTGAACACATGGATATTCTCGTATCTTATATTTAAGGCTTGGATTATAAAATTAAGTATTTTCATATTAGTTTTCTTCAAACCCTTTACAATCAAAAGCCCCTAACAGAATTCAGTTTAGACCGTAAAGTATCTCGTGAAAGACAAAAAGGCGCCGTATATCTTATATGTGTCAAACTCAAGGCCCGGGGGCCGAATGTGGCCCTCGTTGACATCTTATCTGGCCCCAAATATGTTATTTTAAATGTAAAATACTTTAATAACTTCAATTTTTTTCAGTAATCCTTGATTATGATGTCAAAAGTGCAATCAAATGAGACTAATCTAACTCTTGTTGAGGAACCTGCAACCAAGAAAAGATGTTTGGTATCCAACTTGAGTAGATTCTGAAACCGGCCCTTAGTTTGAAAAAGGTTTTAATTTTGGCCCCTTTTGTAAGTGGGTTTGACACCCCTGTCTTATGAGGAACACTTCGGTCTTTATTTGACAGAGTGAGTACAGGAAGAGGGGTTTTCAGGAGGTGGTGACCCCCAACATCTACAACAGCAAGCTGTGGATGACCTCCGGGCACTGGCAGCATTACAGCGAGAACATGTTCTCCTTTGAAGCCGAGAAGGAAACCTTCGCTCTCAAACCCATGAACTGCCCTGGACATTGGTGAGGTTTCTTTGCTGTACATATTTTAGTACGTTTTTATATGAATTACGGTTTTGTTGGCACTCGGAGAATGTAAAAATAAAAAGAGAAATGAAAACACAGCCTGTAATCAAAGAAATGACTGTGTAGGAGGCAGGGGTGCTTGTTTTACATCAACATTTAATGTATTTTAGCATAAATAAAAGAGGACTTTCAGAGTGCAAAATGTTTGGCTTTGATACGATATTCATCTTTGGAAGTAAATATAAGACTCATAATTGCAGCTTTATGAGACTGTACACAGAAGCTTATCAGTTCTTGACTCTGCCTTTTTGAAATACCTTTACATTTCTGTGCTACAGAAGTTGTTTTAATGAGTTCAGCTCAGCACATAATGGGCTGATGCAGTTGCGGTGTTTTCAGTCGTAAAATGACCCAGTTCCACTTACTGCTGAACGCTGCACTGCAGAATGTAGCTCCAATCTGTAAGTCTTTGTGTTCAAATCCTTTGTCTCCTTTTCTAACCTGCCTTGCTCGTTCTGCCGTCCTCTGTACGTCACATTTGAATCCAATCTGAGCTCGCCAGCGTGTTTTGTTGTGGTGATTATCAGCTACATCAAAGATTACACTCAGCCTTTCACAGGAGCACTGAATCAGAGGAACAATTTTCCAGCGTCGTGGTGACTCCAGATTGAAGCTGACAGTTGCATTTTTTTTTAACTTTCTGCTTGCTGTGCTGCTCGGCGCCAGTCTGATGTTTGATCACCGTCCCCGTTCCTGGAGAGAGCTGCCCCTCCGCATGGCCGACTTTGGTGTCCTGCACAGAAACGAGCTGTCAGGAGCGCTGACTGGCCTCACCCGAGTTCGCCGTTTCCAGCAGGATGACGCGCATATCTTCTGCTCCATAGAGCAGGTGAGACCTGCACCAAACGCCTCGATAAAAAACACTTTGCAGGGGAAAGCCTCGTTAACAGAAACAAGTGTAAAGCAGTCTTTGCCTCAAGTGACCGTCTGAGGCAGCGTTTGTTCAGGTCAGGACTCTGAAAGTATTAATAATAAAAGCAGGCATTTAAATTTCTGAAGTTATACATTTTGAGTAATGTCAGGTCTAGGTTTAAAGACAAAAAGACTTTACCTTTTTAAAAGTTTTAAAATATTTTCTGTGTTCAAAAATACAATGCTCAATAGTACAGTTTTTTATAAATTACATTTTAGTCGTAATTCACTTCACATTTGCACATTGTTTAACTTTTGTTAAAAACAATTTTTATTACTTTCTCGGAAAGAAAAAAATCACGCTGTTTATAGAAAATAATGAAACTACACAGTTCTCATTTGCAAGAAGTCAAGGTTTAAAAGCTCTCAATGGATCAGTGTCTTGCAGCACGGTGGTTTTGTTATTAGTGATGAATAGTTTGTAGATGAAAGCTCCACATGCTGCTGCTCCCTGATTAACAATTTGCTAATTCTTTGACCTGAATCACCGCCAGCAACAATTAAACCAAACAGAAATTTAGAAAGCTTAAATGATTTGTTTGTTAGTGGGTTCAGATGTGGTGATCCAGCAATTTGCAGCCAGCTTTAGACTAATTCTGTTTTGTTTTTTTTTGGCATTAGACCAGATGGGTCATTATTCACTTACACTCGGTTCAACAATAACTACTTAAAATGTGTCTCTTTGTTTGCAGCATCTGCTTGTTCTCTCAGTCTTAACTGCTTTAAGAAAATCTGAGCAATGTGAAACTCTTCTGCACGGTTAACTTTTGGTTTCGAGTCTGTGACACTAGAAGTGATCCACATTCTGAGAGTGAAACGAAACAAAACAGTTTAATGGTTTGTCTTTGCATCCCAACTGGTTGTTAAACAGTTGATTTTGAATCTGTAAGAACTCACAGGCATGATTCATTTGAGAGTTGATGTTAAGCCTTTTTTCTTAATTTTTATACTATTTTCTGCTTATTGCAGCTGACTAAATCCAATAGATCTGCAATATCATCATGTTTAAATATGTTTCACAAACATATAGCATATGACTTATATCAGTGAGCTCTCTGATCGACTAAAGACTGTCACCAAAAACGTTCCTGAGCTGAGTTGTTTTTATAATGGAGTTTCTGTTGTTGTCAATCGCAGATAGAAGAGGAGATTAAGGGCTGCCTGGACTTCCTGCGAACTGTGTATGAAGTGTTTGGCTTCACTTTCAAACTCAACCTTTCCACAAGACCGGAGAAGTTCCTGGGAGATCCAGAGATGTGGGTCCAAGCTGAAAAGGTAACTAGAATATAGTTTTTCCTCTCCATTCATTAAAAAAAACCTTGAATACCTCTCAGCACAGAGTCTCACCAGTAAACATGTTATGTTGACAGAAGCACCAGCAACTCTTCATAAAGGGCAAATGGCAGTGAGATTTATACACGCAGAAAAAAAGGTTTCTGTAGACCTGCCATTTGGTATAAAAAGGTTCTTCCTCTTCACCAGACATTATAAATTCATCTGCCTGCCTATGTTCAAATTAACACAGTTATATATATATATATATATATATATATATATATATATATATCAATTCAATCAGCGCTTCAGCTCTGATCAGCTCAGCTTGTATTTAAAACAAGCACGATTAAGCAATAACGAGATCGAGCTGCACTGACTGATAATGAGCGTTTAATGAATTCTGCTTTTAGCTTCAGATAAAACCCAGCACGGATCCATCCTGGGACTACTTGGTTCAGAGAATCTGTGTAAAATGACAGCTAATAAAAAAACGTGTGTATTTATGTTTTATTGTAAGGATTACTTTCAAATGAAGGACACGGAATCGTGAGTTCATCTTTGCTGGCAGGCTCTGAATAGATGAGAAGGTGTTAGTTGTCTGGCACAACGCCTGAATAAAATGTAGTGACTTACCTGCTTTTCCACCAGCAGTCTGAAGAACACAGTTCTGCAACATTTAATTGGGTTGGTGGATTTTTTTGGTTTGTTTGTTTGTTTTATAAGCTTTTTTTTTTTTTTTCCATCATCTAAATTTTATTTTTCTTCTTCCTCAATTTATATTTTTTTCCGTGTCTTTTGGTGTTTGTGAAAGTAAACAAAAACAAAGAAAGTGTGATAAACTTTGCACAAGCAGTAAAAAAAAAAAGTGCATTTCGCTCATTTTATTAATCTTTAGGCACAACCATAAAACATAAAGATGTGAACATTTCTCGCCTCAGTGATTACGTCCAGATAAAGTAAAGGTCAGGTCTGAATATTAAGCTTTATTTACTTGTAGCTTTGCTACAATATCCCTGGTTGAACAACGGATCATTATTTTCTTGTTGTTTTTCTCTCTGCAGCAACTGGAGAACAGTTTAAATGAGTTTGGAGAGAAATGGATTCTGAACCCGGGTGACGGAGCGTTCTACGGACCTAAGGTGAGGCGCGCAGTGCATCGTTGGTGCAGTTTTAACTGTAAATCAGCAGGAGAGATGCTGACCACACGTCTTGTGTCTGCAGATTGATATTCAAATCAAGGACGCCATCGGTCGATACCATCAGTGTGCCACCATACAGCTTGATTTCCAGCTGCCCATCCGCTTTAATCTCAGCTTTGTTGGGTAACGGTTCAATTCTCTTTTCTTCATGAAGTGACTAAATCTACATGTTTAATGTTACAAAAGCTCTTCACTTATCTGGAGGAAAAGGGAGATGTTATAATGGAATTAATAAAACATGTATTTCATTTAATTTATTTTATTCATTTCAAATTAAAACACAGGAAAAAACAATTTACAATCCATATGGATAAAAAAAGACAGAAAAGAAAATTTAAAATGAAAGGAAGCAGAAGAAGAAAAAATCTTATAATAACTGCCCCTTCTTAGACAAAAAATCAATACAAACAATCAATTAAAGCAATAGTCATTCATGAAAACAATTTTTCAACAACTAAACAATCAATGCAATTCATGCATTAGTCAACCATGAAACAAATAATCAACTTATAGTAATATAATGATTTTAAAAACATTTTATATTAACCAAATTACATATATCTTTGCAACATTATACTCTTAATTTTTTTCTTGAATACAGACATTGACTGAGCTGTTTTAACATCAGTTTCCAAACTATTCCATAGTCCTATTCCATGTATCAACGTTGACCGACCCTTTAAACTAGTTCTATATTTAGGTTTAACAAAAATATCAGTGCCTTTTATAAATAGCTGGACATCAGCATAATAAACAAGAGCTTAGTGGAATTATGATTTTTTTTTTTTTTTTTTTGCTTGCTCACGTTACATGCCATAATTTAAAGGGATTAATTGGTAAATCTAAATTGCTCCTAGGTGTGAGTGAGAGAATGAGCAACAATAGAAGGAAAGAAACTGAGATGAAATCTCAGGAAAGACTTTTAAGTTCTCAGGATTCACTTTCTATTTCATTATCAGTTAGGTGCCATTTATTGTACTCGCTTTAGAAATGGATTGTGTGTGAAACCTTTATCAAAAACAGATTGTTTTTTATCATGCCGTCACTTTTACCAGGACTCCCTGGAAGAAGAGATGATGCATCTCAGTGAGACCTTCTTGATTAAATTAAGAGCAAATATGATGAATAAAAATAAAAGCGAGAACGAGTCCGAGTAGAGTAGTTTTTAGATTTTAATAAGGTAGTCCTGTCTTAAGAATCTTGTTTCTCATGTGTACATTTTGTTTCGCTTTTCTTTGTAGTCATGATGGTGATGACCAAAAGAGACCAGTGATCATCCACAGAGCCATCCTGGGATCCGTAGAGAGGATGATCGCTATTCTGACTGAAAACTATGGAGGAAAATGGTTTGTAAACAGACTTTTTAGTAAATGTTTTTTACTTTTTTTCTTGCAATAATTGTTCTGGTTATTATGTATAAACACTTCAGTTTTCTTTGAGTACAAATATTTGTAGAACATTTCTTGAAGATTGTGTTTGGCCTCATATAAATGCAGATATGTCGTGTTTTTTCAGGCCGCTGTGGCTTTCTCCCCGTCAAGTGATGGTCGTACCCGTGGGACCGACCTGCGAGGCGTACGCTGAGAAAGTAAGCACCAACCTGCCTCGGCTACCTTAGTACAAATATACATTTCTGGGTTGGCAAGGTTCCCTGAAAGATTTTATATCCAACACAGAGCTGAACAAAACAGCAGTTCATTATAGGTCACATCATTGCTTTAGAATAGAAATGTTTTGGCTCCTTGTTACTTTCTTTAAAGTATTTAAATAATTATTTTTAGATGTTACATCACTCTGAGATAAATACAAAAGTTTAACTGGAACTGAATAAATAAGCAGTTGGATATCAATCAAGTTGTGAAGAAAACAGTGAAAAGCATGTGTATCTTTTGCAGTAAAGGATTAATTTTTCAGACTCATTTATCTTAATTCTGTTCATAAATTCAAACTGAACCCAACTGCACACGTTTTATTCTCATACTGCGTTTATCACACAGACTGATGTATCCTTTTGAAAGGTTATGTTATGTTTGTCATATGCAGGTTAACACAGGGTCAACAGTGCAATGAATTGTTCAGGATGAGAAGAACAGATTTGACTCGCTAAAATAAAAAAATAAAAAACATATTGTCATGCAAGTCACTGTGTATGTAGGTCAGAAGATTTGTGGTTACACAGAGACTTTATTAAAGTCACCAGAGATGCACTGAAATGCTAAACCTGTCCTCTTTGCAAGGATCACGTCAAATACATGCTAATGCCTTTTCTAAATATGATTTTTGAACGTTTTGTGTTGCACAGAAAGTCAAATGTAACTTGTTTATTAAAAGTACTTATTGCAATCTCTTGGAGACCAGTTTAAAATAATAATTACCATTGATAGGAGAACATTTGTGCAGATTTTAACTAATAAAATCTGCACAAATGTTCTCATCAATATTATGTCCCTAAATTAAAAATGTGTTAGCACATTTAGCAAATGGCTGCCAACCACCACGTGAACGTTCAAAGTGACAGAAGATAGACGGTTGAGTTTTTAAACCATTGAGACTGTAAACGTACCGGTCCAGCAGATGTTTCCTCAAAACCTTGTGTGTTTTGGTGCTTCACAGCCCTGCTTGTTCCCCAGTAGTTAATTATAACGCGTATTATTTGTAAGAGTTTCTTTCGTTTGTTCCCTTCAGGGGTTGCCGCAGTGAGCGAACTCGCTTGAAAGATGTAACAATTGTTTTACACCGGCTGCCCTTCTTGACTCAACCTGAGCTCAAACCCACAACCCCAGGATTACTAGCTCACGACACTGACCACCAAGCTACCGCAGCCCACTTTTCTCTTTTAATAAGACAACTTTAAAAAGATTCTCCTCGACTCTACATTTGTCCAGTTTCACCATATTTGTTTACCTCCACAGACTACAACCAGCCTACTGTAGGTCAATCACAGGACTCAGAGTTTTTGGAACATTCAACAAAGTGCTGTGTTTACATTGTGTGCGTGCCCACGGTACAGAATTTCATATTGATATATCTGGAAATTCAGAGTAGAGTTGCATTCGGGTCCAAAAAATTTGACCCGACCCAGTCCCAGCCCATAGCCATCATTTCCAAACCCCACCTGACCCGACAAATTAACAGTAATTACAGGTCCGAACCCAGAAACAAACCCAGACATTTTTAATTAAGCTTTGACTGCTTATAGTATATGAACGGTCGGCGGACCGCGGTGAAGTTAGTTTTATGTTGGACATTCGAGCGCCGTGGCTTCAGCGGTGTGTTCCTCTCATTCGAGTTCGGCTGACCGAAATCAGACTGCCTGCATCAGATTGAACGAGAGGAACACACCGCTGAAGCCACGGAGCTCGAATGTCCAACGTCCAACATAAAACTAAGTTCACCGCGGTGACGCGCGGCTGAATAAAAGGGGCAGAAGATCAGAGCTGAGTGGCTGTTTGTCCTTTCATGGCCGTCAAAGAGCATTAAAACCCTGTTTCTGCCTGCGTTCTGATTTATTCTCTGACATGACTGCTTTGGGATCTCACCTGTTTGGGTCGTCAGCTGCACGCATCCACCGAGTGCAGCGGCTGAATGAACGTCCATTTGGGCGAAGGATCGCTGCCTGGCAGTAAAGTTCCATCTGAAGCTTAACTGAGCTTTATTTTACCTTTACACGGTCGGTCAGCTCGAGGTGAAGTGGCGCGTGCTGTCGGTAAATGTATGGCAAGCCCCGTTGCCATTTAATTGGATCACAGCTAATCTGCTGACGCAATCAAACCCCGACCCGGCCCGCCCATCCAGCACATTATCATGGCCCAGTCCGCCCCGGGTTTGAAAAGGTTTTCTCTGAATTAGAGCTGTCATTTCTGACTTTATCATTTGAGACCGTTCTGGATACACTTCTTGTGTTTCTTGTAGTTTTTATTGCGTGCCTTCAGGGCAACACTGGTGGTAATTATTACAACTAAAACCTTGTTGAAAATATTGTAAATCACAAGTAGCAAACGGATAAAATTCTTTCTGTGGTTTGTAGGTCAGGCAGGACTTCCACAGCAGCGGCTTCATGACTGACGTGGATGTGGACCCCGGCTGCACTCTGAACAAAAAGATCAGGAACGCTCAGTTAGCACAGTACAACTTCATTCTGGGTCAGTGGCAACATTCACTTCTGTCCTTCCTCATCTCTAACTCTGCCCAAATAAATATAGATCTTTTTTTTTTTTTTGTCTTTTCATGTCTCCCTGTTGGGAAAAGTGGTGGGAGAGAAAGAGAAGACAAGCAACACTGTGAACGTACGCACCCGGGACAACAAAGTGCACGGCGAGCGCAGCGTGGAGGAGTGCATCGAGCGCCTCAAACAGCTCAAGGCTTCCAGGAGCAGAAACGCAGAGGAGGACTTCTGAGCTTTCCCGAGCAGCTTTTTTTCAACAAATTCTCAACTGACTTAAAAATACAACCCGGTTGAGATCATCTTTTGATGAGCGGTATAAATGTCTCCAAATGTTGCCACGTCTTAGCTTTTATTCTTTTCTTCCAGAAATCCTTTTCTTCCTGTTTTACAATCTGGTTTTCATTCAGAGTTTTTGGTTGTCACCTGAAGTGGGAGCTAAAGTTCATACAATGAAGTATAAATGTCTGTTACTGTAATCTGATTAAGTATTCAAACAGCTCTACTGAACAACACACACAGACCTTTCCTCTAAACATTTTTCAAATCAAACAAACTGATCAAAACAGCAAAAAATGGCTTAAAATTTTCTGTCAGTCACTGATTTCTTCAGGGAATTGTACATGAAATACATTTTTGTTAATTAAAAGGTCTATTCTTGATTATTTTGTTCAGCTTTTGTAAGAAACAAGATAAGGTGTGTGGGAGCTGAGTGCAGGTGCCATCCCAGGGACTCTAGAGGAGCGATAAAAACAAATTGCTCTTTATTGTGAAACCAGAAGGAGCTCGAGTCTGAAAAACATGGACCCAAGATGTGACTGTCAATAGGGACAGAATAGCTTTGTCCCAGTTGTGGAATCAAACTGGGAAGTGGCGACAATGATTACTGAACAAAGCAGACTTTAATTTACTCGTCTTTTTGTTGTGAAGGGGAAATTTGGAGTTTTTATTCTTTAACAGATACAACAAGATGTCTATAATTGTAAAAAGTTATAACATGCTGAAGTTGTTTTTTTCTTAACTTTAATCTGGACTTCAGTGGGGTGCTTACAAGACGTCTTATTAAACATTTATTGTATCCAGTTTTAATGTTACATCTTGAAGGAAATGACATAAACATATATATTTTAGGGGTTTTAGCTGCAAAGTCAAAGAGCTCAAAAATAGAAACCAGTTACAGCTTTGTTCACTTTTTAATCCAACCACTAGTAGGTGCCATCACAGATTTATTAAGAGCTGGAAACTGACATGTTACCATGCCTTTCAGAAGTGAAGCATCTGGGAAGAGTGGTCCAGTTTTTATATTTAAAGAATCCTTAATAATAATCTCAAGAATTTTCTAATTTAAATGTACGACAGACTCTTGTTCTTGCAACAGAGTTCTCCAGTGTTGTTAGTAATAAAAAAATAAATTGTTCAATCAATATTTTAATATGAACAGTGGAGAGGAGCTAAGGCGGAGTGAAAAATGGTGCAGGAGAGACTGCAAACCCCTAACACTTAATAAAAGTCAAGGAAAACTCTTATTCTGGCAACTCTGCAAGAAGCATGTGAATAAAATGTGAGGGGTCATCGGTTGTTTTGGCTAATTTGTGCTGTTCAGCACCTAATAAATTACTTTCGCCTGGTTCTTGGAAAGGAACATATTGGCTACTAAAAAACCAGCAATAATTTAAAAGTAGAACATGCAGAAAAGACACAGCACTGTTGCTGAAAAGCACAAACCAGTTGCTAAAAAGTAAAGGCTAATTAGTAAAACTTTGCAATAATTAGCACAGATATAAGTGTAGAAAAACAGTAACAAGGCAAAATGAAGCAAGACCAGAGATAGTAGCTAAGCAGATGCAAAAAGCTAAAATTTGCAAACCATGGCTAAAAGTTATAATTAGCACAACAGGACGTAAAAACAAAAATTGGCAAAATTCGCTAAAAGAAACTTAAGACAACAAAAATGTAGCAAGTATAACTTGGAGAGCAGTGTTTTTAAAAGTTCTAAAGTTAAATGCATCAAAAAGTGATCATTACTAAAATACATCGCAAAATGTAGAAGAAACAGGAATTTCACATTATGAATGCAGAATCAAACAAATGGTATGGTATAAAGTTTATTCATTTTAAAAATACAAAACAATTCCATAACAATATAAAAAAATACAAGAAATTTTAAAAGAAAGAAGAAAAACTTATATCTGCCCCTTTTTGCAAACAATTAGTTCAATCATAATAATTTTCAAGTAACTACTTATAGTAAATACTTATATAGCTCATCAAAGTTAAAATATACAAACTTTTAATTTTACATCCAAACACACTAGAAAACTTAAAAAAAAAACACTGACTAGAATTAAAAATGATCAAACCAATCTATCTTTGAGTTTAAAGTAAATAGAAATGTTGTGTGAATTTGGCCTATACCAAATGTGACCACAAGGGGGCAGAGCTGAAACAGCATCTGCTGTGAGGGGAAAGGGGGAATTGTGTTAATGTCAGTGGAGTGTGGGAGAGGAAAACATTTTGATAAGGGGTTAATGAAAAAGTCAATGGAGTAGGAGAGTGTCAACAGACGGAGTGAGACAGCTCCAAGTCTCTGGGGATTCACTGCTGAGTCTCAGGCTCTTCGTGAATCCCTGCCTCCTCTTGTTTCGTTGAATCTTTCCATCACGCCTGACTGACGACCTGGCCATGAGGGGTCACAATGCTTCACTGAGCTGAGCAAACTTCTCTCCCAAGCAACATGTGTTTAAAGAATCAATTCACACGTTTTCCTACTGGAACTCTTTGAGAGGCTTGGATTAGTCGTGACTTGAAAACTTGATCTACACGCCTTTGCTTTAAATGCAGATATTTTTAGATCTTTACATTTTTAGCCTCAGTGTTTTCTTAAGATTTTTTTCTCCTTCCCTTTAGCCATCCATTATCTTTACTCACTTCTTCCTTTTCAGGTTGCGGGGGTTACTGGTACCCATGTCCAGCAGTTACTGTGTGAGAGGCGGGGGACACTCTGGACAGGTCTCCAGTCCATCACAGGGACACAGAGACAAATGAGAAACAACCATTCACTCTCTCACTCACACCTTGGGACAATTTAGAGTTACCAGTCAGCCTAACGTGCATGTTTTTAAAAGGATAGTTCCAAAATTTTGGAGTGAAGTTACATAGATAGGGTATGATCAATAAATAGCTTACCTGTTGTAGATGGAGTTTAATTCTGATCAGAGTGACAAGCTAACAGCTAGTTCAAATGGGGCAAAGACCAAAGTTTTCCTTCCTTGAATTAAGTTTAATCTAAAAAAAAAAATATATATATATATATATATATATATATATATATATATATATGGTTGTTTTGTGAGCAATTTCTTTTTTCATTGCATGGACACTTACAAAGGAGTGCAACTGTAAATAACGGCAGCAGCAACTAGTTGTAGCACTTCTGGTGCAGATCAGGGCATTTCCTGCAGGAATATCATAATATGTCCGCTGCAATAACTGTAGTACAAAACTGAAAGTGATGCAAAAAAAAAAAGATAAAATAGTGTTCAAATTAATATGAAGTGTTCACTCAGACTAAACACCCGTGGCTTATAGAGAAGCACAGCCTATATGTATTTATGTACAAAAAAATAGAAAATAATTAGTGGGCACAGATTATACTGTATTTGGGTGCGCTCAATAATCTGGAAATTATGGTAATTTTTATTTCAAGAAGCTGCTCAAAGCTCTTCCTACATCAGGTAAGAAAATAATTCTTTGTAGCCTTTTCATAAAACCATTCAAAAGGTCTGAACCGTCACTTTTAAGAATCAATGTTTTTTTAAAGCAACATTTTTAAAATGTGAACAGTGTCACCTGAGATGTAAAACCTGAATTATAACAAGTTATTTTAGTAGAAAGCCTAAAAACTAAGAGGTCACCTGTAAACCACAAACATTAAAGTTCACAAGTCTATTTTTTTTTTTTTTCACCAACTACAAAAAGCATCAATTTGTTCCCTTCAGGAGTTCATTATACATAACTGTCCTATACTGTAGTCCCTCCACTTAAACTATCTGCTATACCATAAACACCTCAGCTTATATACCTTTAGACTCTTAACAAATTAACCTCTGGGTTTAATGATTTATTATTATTTAATGTTATTTTGTAGTTTGTTTCCAGTCATTAACCTGAGCTGCTTTTGGTTTTGTAGCCACTGCTTTAAAAATAATTATTAAAATGAAATAAATATTTTCCCATCAGGAAGCAAGAAAACAAATGACCAGTAAGCATATTTCCATAAATGGGAAGCCGTTCTGGTAAACCACATCATAAATGAAAGAATTCCCCCCCCATCTTCCTCTTTTCCCTCCTCTCTCTCTCTCTCTGCACTAACAAGGTGTTGTCTTTGTTGCTCTGTTTGTTTTCCCTCATCTCCATGGCAGCTGACAGCAGTCAGAGCCTCAGCCTGCATGTAACCTGTGCAGTTTTTCTTTGAAAAGCCTCGCCTGTGACACAGTGATGCTCCTACCGACTCCCTGCCTTTTCATCCTGGAGCCGTCTTGCTCCTGGGCCAAACAAACTCCCATTTGACTCGTTACCAAGCATTTTCTCCTCCACTACGCCTCAGTCTCTGGAGAAACGCCCATCGCGCCCGCCTCCACACAGACGCACGCACGATACCTCCTCCTGCACCGTAACCCCTCTGCATAAATGCATCAAACCCCCAAATTATGGTCAGCCACTCATGAAGTCAGTTTTGCTTGGGAAAACCGACGCTGCCAGCTTTATTATCATAATGTTACCAAATTATATGGTTCTAATTAGGAACCGTTTGATCACACGTTATGGCAGCTGCAAAGCTAGCGTGTGACCTTACGGGGATTTTTTTTCCCCCTCATCTCAAAAATATGACCTCTGGTTCTGACCCAGCATAAATTAAGGAAACCGCTTTACACCACGGAGAGGCCTTTGCCACCAGTCACACCCTGCATGTAGCCAACAGCAACAATTCAGTGTGGATGTGTGGGATACAGGTCTGAAGGATATGCAAACACAAGGCGGCTGCACGTTGAGACAAACTAAACTGCAGCAAAAAGACAGATGTTTGTTAGAGCTAAATCTGACTAGTTATTATGAGTGACGACTAGGACCAAATCTCTAAAAATGATGAGCCGTCTTGGCGGAAGATCAACTGGTTTTGTTGTAAACTATTCAAACATTTTACAATAAATTTAAGTATTTATTGGAATTACTACTCTGTGACTTTTATTGATGGGTTGAAACAATAAGTTAGCTGGCGCTCAATTTGTATTTCATTTGCTCACATTAAATGAAGCCACATGTTTTCATGTATTTGAATACTTGCTAATACAAAGCATGTCATTACAATTCCTTACATTTACATAGAATATTCATTATCTTTTACCCGGTTCTTCCATTTTGGGTCACAGGGGTCACAGGTGCCCATGTCCGGCTATCATTGCGCTAGGGGCAGGGGACACCCTGGACAGGTCTCAAGTCCATCACAGGGACACATTGAGACAAATGAGATAAACAACCATTCACTTTCTCACTCACACCTAAGGACAATTTAGAGTTACCAATCAGCCTAACATGCATGTTTTTGGTCTGTGGGAGGAAACCGGAGTACCCGGAGAAAACCCACGCATG